GCAATGGGGGGTCTGGCGGTCCCCTTGTGCACGGTCGAGGCGCCCGCGCCCATGAGCGACCTGGCCACCTCCAAAATCCTTATGGAAGTTGACACGAATGTGGGGGTGATGGACCAAGAGGCTAAGCTGCTAGCCGCTAGCCCGAAGACTGATGCGATGGAGATTATGGGAAGAAGGGATGTGGAAGAGTTCCTGGAAGAGATTCAAGCAAGTGTGAATGCGTTAGACCAAAAGGTGGGGATGGAAGTGGAAGGCCCTACTGCACAGCCGATGAATGAATCACAGACGGGAATTCTGGGGGTGGAGGTTAGACCTCCCCTGGTTGATTCGGGTATGGAGGTTCACTCCATGAAGGACAATCCCATCTTTGAACACTATCACGCACAGGGGACAAGTAGTAACTTGAATGGTGCTGTTGATGGGAGCAGGACTGCAATGCCGGGTGATGAGCGGATTACACCTATGGCTGTGGATAAGGTGTTTGGTGGAAACGTTGGGAATGGAGAATTGTGGACGCCTTTTGAGGGGGCGCATAGGGGTGAAAGGGCGAAGGCAGCTATGGGTGATTCATCCTCGCCATAGGAATGCCCACAAGGTGTTTGTAATATTGCCCCTGAGGCACGGCGGGATGCTTTGCATGGGCAAGGCTCTTCCAAAGCGGGAGTTTCGAATGTTTGGAAGAAAGCTATGCCAGTGGCACTAAACTTGGAAGAGAATGTGACGGATTTTCTCTTGGAGGATGGAGCGGTTAAGTTGGACGTTTCCAGAGCAAGGGGGAATGTTCAGAGGTTGCGACGGGCTCTGGTCGGGAGCTTGCTGGGGAGGCGTGTGCCGTTTTGGGTAGTCCAAAATGAACTCCAACGCAAATGAGGGCACCTTGAGGTGACCCAAATCACCCCTTTGGGCTCGGACTGCTTCCTTTGTTGGTTCGAAGATGTGGAGGCGAGGGATAATGTACTGATCGGGGGACCTTGGTATGTTGCAGGCTAGATTATAGGTGTTGAAAAATGGAATGCGGGAATCTCGCCCACATCGGTTCGAAGATTTACTTCGCCTGTTTGGATTAGGCTTCCTAACCTGCCACTGGAATATTTGGATGAGGCGAATCTAGCTAGGCTAGTGGCTGGTGTGGGGGAACCTCTCTTCATGGATGACCAAACCAAACAGTGGAACAGATGTGCTTTTGCACGAGTTTGTGTTCGCCTTGATTTATCGAAGAAGCTACCAAAGGGAATTTGGGCCCATGGATTGGGTGGTAAGTTTTTTCAACCAATTGAATACGAGGGAATCCCGGTGATCTGCCTGGAGTGCGGGATGGTTGGACATAAGGCGGAGAGCTGCAGGGAAAGGGTTAGGATGCAGGGGCAGCATCCTCCCATCCAGACTAGGCCTGTCACGGATAGTACTGGACAAGGGGAGTCAAACTTGAAGGAAAGAATTGGGGGGGGGAGGGGGGGGGGGGGGGGGGGGGGGTTGAACTAGGGGCTGGGCCCAGCTCGACGGACATGAGCACCAAGGGGGTTGATAAGGAATGTGGAGAATGGACCATCGTGACTTGAAGGCGAAAGCCACGGCCTGCTAAATTTGCAACCAATGTACCCCCTCCTGCTCGGGGTAGTGTTTCTAAAGTCATCACGGGGGGAGAGCAGGCTGTGTGGCGTGAGACAGCCAAGGAGAACAAAATGGGGAAGCCTAAGGCTATGGAAGAACATACTGGACAACGATCTCCTATGGAACAGAGGAATGCGGTGAAGCTGAATCCGGGCGTATTGGGGGCTGCTCCTGCGGGACAATTGGGCACTTCGCAGATGTTGGTTGCTGAGACTGAACAGCCAGCTGGGGAATCCAGAACTGGAGGCAGGGAATTTCTCAACTTTATGAGGTCACCATTGAGGGAGAAGGGGGCTGAGCCTATTGAACAAGAAATGAAAACAAACTGAAGAGACAAAGTGCGGGGGCGGATCAGAGCCGAGGAAGGGCGTTCAGCCATTGAATTCTTACGGGCCATTACGGAGGGGACATAAACAAGGGAAATTACACAGGGAGGAATGCTCGTAGGACCTAATTGAACAGCCAACTTTACCCAGGGTTCTACGGTTCTCGGACTCTAAGACCAGAGGATGGAAACCGTATACTATACGGGATAGAAGAGCCATGGCTGGGTTGGCCAAAAAGGAAGGAGCATTGCTAGAATCGGCAAGTAACTTAGAGCAGTCGCTGGCCAGTGCTTCTGCTGAATGGTCTACTGGCGTTGAGGGATCGATGGTGGAGGAGTTGAGGGATGATGTTGCTACCAATAATTTGCATGGTCTTAGGGGACAGCGGAGACTTTGGAAAACCTGTGCGGCGGGGGCGCTTCCCCTTCAGTTATCCATGTTTAACATCCTCTATTGGAATTGTAGAGGTGCGCGTAAGAAAGAGACGGGGTTCTACTTACGGCATTTAATTGGAACCCATAATGCTAGTTTCGTTGGTCTGTTGGAGACTAAATTAGAGATGATTGATCGCAAAGATGTAGATAGATTGGCTGGGAGAGATTGGGACTTCGATTTTCAGCCTTCGATTGGTAGAGCTGGGGGCATTCTTGTCCTGTGGAGGAGTAGCCGCTTCTCTTTCCAGACTTCGTTCAAAGCGGAGCAATGCCTTATGGGGAAGATTACGATGGCGGATGGAAGTTCGTGGGAGGTGGCTGTGGTTTATGCCAACAAAGACAGATGCATTAGACGAACTATGTGGGAGGATATCTCCACTCGTCATGACCAGAGCCTCCCCTTGCTTGTTGGGGGTGATTTTAATTGTATACTGAGCCAAGAGGATAAGAAAGGGGGTAGGCCTTTTCTTAGCAATCCGGCCACTTGTGATATGGCTGAGTTCATGGTAACTAATGATCTGGTTGATCCTGGGTTTGTTGGGCCTGTGTATACTTGGACCAATAATAAAGACGCGAGGAGCAAGATTTTCTCTAGACTTGACAGATTCCTTGTCAGCTCGAACATTTTCGATAGGTTCCAGGATCTACGGGTTGAGCATCTGACTAGGCTTGCGTCGGATCACTGCCCTATTCTCTGTAGGGTGCAGGAGGCTTTGAAGCGCACTTACTCACCTTGGATCAGATTTGAGGACGTCTGGTTGAGTTTTCCGCATGCTCGCCATCTGGTCTTGGAGAAGTGGAGGATGGCTGATTTCGGGTGTGAGGCTGCAAAACTACAGCGTAAGTGTAATAGAACGCTGAAGGCTTTGTTCTTCTGTAGTAAGGAGAAATTCAGGCGCCTCAACCAACTTAAGGAGGAGTTGGACTCTGAGGTTCGGACATTGCAGGAGTTAGAAGGCAAACCATTTGGGCTAAATCCGGTCCAGACTCAAAGTCTGCGGTTCAAGGTGCAGCTCTTGAATTCCACTATTGCCCGGATTATGACTTGGTGGAGACAGAGGGCGAAGGTGCGATGGATCGAGGAGGGAGATGGTAACACCCGTTTTTTCCACTCTATGGCGTCGGCGAGGAGACGATCCAATGGTATTGCATCAATTACAAGGGAGGACGGGTCGGTTGTGACGGATCAGGTGGAGATTGCGGATACCTTCCACCAGTTTTTTGCTCAAAAATGGAGGGGAACGGATGTTGTGGAGCAGGGCTGGCCATCCTTCACCAGTTATCGGGATTCTATTGCTCGCTTCACAGGGATTTTGGATGGTGATGTCTCGGAGGATGAGATTTTGCGTGCCACAAAATTGTTGGGACAGAACAAAGCTCCGGGACGGGATGTTATCACTGTCTCCTTCTTCAAATCGTATTGGGATATTGTGGGGGAGCAGGTTGGTCGTGCTTGTGTGGAATTCTTCAATTCAAGTGTGATGGACCCTTCTTGGAAGGAGACGGTTGTGGTCATGATTCCAAAAGTTAAAAATCCGGACCGCCCATCTAAGTTCAGACTCATTAGTCTGTGTTAAACGATCTACAAAATTGTGGCGAAAGTTCTTGTGAAAAGACTTAAAGGGGTTTTGCCACATATTGTTTCTGATGAACAAGACGCCTTTGTTCCTGGCCGTTCAATTACGACACACTGCTTACTCAGCCAAGAACTGATGCATAAATTTAAGGTGTCCAAGGCTGCAAAAGGTTTTTTTGCTATGAAGGTGGACATGGAACAGGCGTACG